AACACAAAATTATCAATTATTTGGATGCACAAAATAGTTTACAAGAAAAGTTAAAACAAAAATACTACAAAAATTCATAATTCATAGCAGAAAACAGCATAACAATATTAATAGTTCTGTAGAAGTGCAGTTAAAAATCAGTGGAAACATGAAATTTTGGCTTTGAATTTCTATTTAAGTAGAAACAGAAACTCAGAAAAGTTTCAGAACTGGTAAATACGTTTTAATTAATCAGTTCCAATCAATACTAATTCCTATATTTTTAAATTAATCTCAGTTCCCAACTAATCTTAAAGGACACATTACATACACCAAAATAATCAACACATTGGCAATAATATTATAAACTACATTTTTGTTTTTAATTTTCTAGAATTAGCAGTGGCTATAGTGTAATGCTTAAGTATTTGACAAAATTGGAAGGCCCCCTCAGCCATACAAATTCAGTGGATGACTTTGGGCCAGTCACTTTCTCTCAATTCAATCTATCTCACAAAATTATTATTATGGAGATAAAGTAGAGAGAGATTCCCACATAAACTGTCTTAAGCTTCTAGAGGTTAGGCAGGACCAAAGTCTAATGAAGGCTTCTATGGGCGTGTTGGGACAAAGCTCCTACAGGTATGCCTCATTAGTTTGCAAATTTCTTAGCTGATAAAGTTATTCATATCAACTCAACTCTAGAGGCCAAATGAATAGTGATAAGTAAATGTGTGATAATCTGGTATTCTTTTGAGCCTGTTGAGCTGGAGGAAGTACATAGCAATAGCACTTAGACTTATATACCACTTCACAGTGCTTTACAGCGCACTCTCAGCAGTTTACAGAGTCAACATATTGCCCCAACAATCTGGGTCCTTATTTTACCGGCCTCGAAAGGATGGAAGGCTGAAGTCAACCTTGAGCCGGTGAGACTCAGACTGGCGAAATGCAAGCAGTCAGCAGTCAGCAGAAGTAGACTGCAATACTGCATCCTAACTACTGTGCCACCATGGCTCATAAGGTCATTAGTAGTTAGAATGCTACTATTTGAACACAGGCAAAGCATTAGCACTTGATATGAGAGATTAACAATTCATTAGAAGAGGACATAGTGCTATTAACCTTTAAAGAAGTAGTAGTATGCCTGAAGCCACCTTCCTAAATCCAGCTGTGTTTGATAAGTTATGCCCAGTTTCCAACTTCCCTTTTCTATGAATTAGTCATGACTACAGGGTTTGATCTCATAGCTGACCCTAATGATTTAAGAATGAGTTCTACAGAAATTCTTGGGTACTGCAAAATTCTTGAGAAGTTTCCAACATTTCAGAGATGATCCTTTGAAAACCTAACAACAAGAATAATAAGCAACATTTAGCATTTGACAGACATATAATAGGATTTGAAAATATTTGATACATTGCTATTATGACAGAAAATTAGTATTTTGAAATAAAAGCTGTCTAATTAAAACACATACTATAACTAAAATGTACATTACTTGTTGGGTAATTGAAGTAGAATTCACAATAATATGCAAATTCAATTTTTCTTGCAAAGGTTATTGTTTAAAATTATACATACTTGTGAAGATTCATTTCAGGTCTATGGTACTTAAGGAAGAACAAAAGCACCACTGTGTGTACCATTTAAAAATGGGAATATTGCAAAAATGATGATCTCAACTGTGTCCTCCTTTTGAAATGATTAATGAGGCTCCCTGTGATGCAGGAAATGAAAACTAGAAATCTGGATAAGTAATGATTGCTTCAAGAGAATGAATATCTCTGAAAGCACAGAACAACCTGATAGGTTGACCTCCAATAAATTACTCTAGGAATTTTCAAATTGAAAAAAGGAAAGTTTTGCTCTTTGTGGATGTGAGACTCTAGAGCTTAGTGACAATGCCAAGATATTTCTTTAGAATGTACTGTTTGCCATCTGACTATTTAAGATTATAATTTTTTAGAAACAAACATGAAAGAAAAGAGTATTTAAGCAAAGTATTTAGTATCACTCACGAAAACAGTCAAGAAAGAGTATAGCAAGGAAAATATCCAGTATGTTGATTTCCATAACTGAGTTCTGTACCAGCTCAAGCTTGCTGGCCTATGTTAACTGTTCTTCCTACTTTTTTTCTTCTCTTTTATTGAAATATATTTTAAGAAAACAAGAAAGTAAAAGGGGAAAAAACAGAGATTAGAATGTTAGGAAAAAGCAGAACGTATAAACAGGAAAACAATATGAGTAAAATATAGGTTGGAGCTAAATTTCGAGTGAGCTGTCAAATAGTTGGAAAGAGACTATTTTCCCAGTCTGACGATCTCAAAATTATCTTTTGGGGAAGTGTGTGTGTACAAACAATTGTCATTTTTTATATTTTAACTGTATGCCTCCCAGAGAAGTTGGGAGTTGAGAATCCCATAAATTCTATTAGTACTACTACGAATAGTAGTAATATCTCTTTCTAATAATAACTTATTATAGTTATTATTAGAATAACTATAAAGAAATTCTTGCCTTCCAATATAATCACAATAATTCATCTCTCTCACCTTGACAAATGCCCTTTATTTCTGGATATTTGTTAAGAGATACAGTAATAATTTGTGTGTATATGTATTATTGTGTAGTCTGTACAAGGTGGCATTCATCTGATTTTTTTCGATAGCATTAACAATCTACTGTTGGAAGAGAATATTTGCAGCTCATGGTTGAAGTCTCAGGTCCTTGTGCTCTCCGAGCTTGTTTTCTTGCAGACATTCCTGTACAGGAATTGTGGAATCTTACAAAAGTTTCACTGGCTTGTGTATTTATTATACTTAAGGCTCTTAAGGGAGGTTTATACCGTTTAGATGTTATATTAACTCGTGACCAATAGAGATATTGCACAATCAGTTCATCCTTACTGGGACTCTTCAGGGATAAGTAACCTCCATACTAAATATTTTATGTTCAGCACTTTAATGGGTTGGAGACTGGCATGGAGGATTCCTATGCCTGAAGAATCCTAATAAGGATGAAACGCAATTGTGTAGTGCCTCCCAGTGATCAGGAGTTAACCTATTATCAAAATAAAACCTTACTACACATCTACTATGGCATAAACTTTGAGTAGTTTGGAGCCCATTTCATCAGATGCTGTGAAGTATTATTTGATGAAAAGCAAGTTAGTTGACTTGTCACATGCTTGTATTTCCTGATAATTATTTTTAGCACTGTTGCTAATCCAGCAACTTTCCTTCGAGTCTGACCGGAAGAAAATTGTGTGTTAAAGGCCACAGTGAAAGCTTCAATATCCTTTCTAAGTGGATTTGATAAAAATAAAAAAGATCTAAAGATTTTTAAAGCACTGCTTTTAAATATTAACAGAAGGCGGCAAGTGTGGCTTGAAAATAGGCACATCAGTGCTTGCCACTATCTAATGTAAATCAGGGCTATAAATAACTATCTGTGGGTTTCATAGAACAGATGGTGCCATTCCTGACCTAGAGATATAGACGTTTTGTGCTAGTATCTTAATAAAGGCCAAATATTCTACATGATGTCAGCCTACATTCAAGACCGCTTTTGGTTTGCAGAAATAATTAAAAAAAAAACAAGAATAAAATGCAGGTACTTTTCATTCCTTTTGGAATGAAAACAAATCAAATCATTACCCAGTTAATAGCAGACCATCATTAGTGGGATCATATCTTATTTTCCCCTTTGGAGCCCTCCCTCAAAAAAAAAAAACTTTGGGAGAAAGCTAATGGCCCAGGACCTTTTTGAGAGTTCATTGACTTAAAGTATTTTTTTTCCCACTATAATATCTATCAGTGTAATTTTTATATTGTTTTTGTCCATTGAATTCAATGGCCAGTAAACATGTGTGGGAAAATGCAAAATACTGAAATCATTCCATATCAGTTATATATCAACTAATTAGCTAGTAGGATTATTGGATAACAGTAGCCACCATCGTATACTTCGTACAAACAAAAATTAAGACTAGTAGATTGAGCCCTAAAAATCCAGATGACTAGTAGTAGTTTTCTGTATCTTTTTGCTACCGATAAGTGGCCATTTTGATTTTTGTTACCAGATCTGGTAGATTTAGTTCTTATTCTTGAATGAAAAGTATTGATCTATCTGAACAAAGCCTGGATACTCTGTTCTACCCCCTCCTCTTAAAATTCAGCCCTGTAGGGGCTCTATTTCTGCTTTTCCAGTTTTGATTCAAGAGATTAAAGATAAAATAACATATTGAAAAAAGAACTTCTTAATTGCTTTTGTACCAGTAGGGAGAATACAAGGAGGCTATCATATGCATATAGAAGAGAGCTACATTGTTGGGGATTGTTACAAGTTCTGTGACCTATAATAGCAAAAAAAAAAAAAAGATATTTTATTTATTAAGAAAATCTATATGGCCACCCAATTCACATAAAAATATATTCATGTTTTTTATGCATGTGTAAAATTCACGATGTAGTATCTACATTACCAAGTTAAAGCAGTATATATTTGGAACACTTCATTCCTGGGTTGATTTTTTTCTTAAAAACCTTTCTCACACACTTTTTAGGTTCTTCCTTCTTGGCCTACATCTCCTACAAAAAAAAATAATAAGTGTCATGAATGCTTGCTATAGAAAGGTTTAGCTTGAATGGATGAAGAAAATATAACATCATCTCATTGAAATGCTACTAGTATGTCAAGAGCCGTGGTGGCGCAGTGGTTAGAATGAAGTATTACAGGCTAATTCTGCTGACTGCCAAGAGTTTGATCCTAACCGGCTCAAGGTTGATTCAGCCTCATAGCCTTCTGGGGTTGGTAAAATGAGGACCCAGATTGTTTGCGGCAATATGCTGACTCTGTAAAGCACTGTGAAGCAGTCTAAGTGCTAAGTGCTATTTCCAAACGAATGCATTTTCTTAGATTCAGCATCAATTCAGAGGAAACCTTTTCAAGTTGCAAACAAGTCTCCTCCTCCTCCTCAAAAACATAGATACTTATGTGAGCCCTTTTTGATATTACAGACTTGAGTCTCCGACACGCTCTTTGGTGATGGAGGCTCCCAAGGGAGTTTTGATCAATGCTGAGGCTGGCAACCTGGAAGCGACGTGCAGGACGGAGCTTAAGCTGCAATCCAAAGATGGTGAGGTACGGAGAAAGTTCAGTACACCTCAGAGCTGAGATCAGGACTCTGCTTTTGGTCTATTGTCAAGGCTGTCTAATTTGCAATGAGTACAGAACAGAGAGCTTGGCACATTTAGGCAATTTTCAGATTTAAAAAATAGGATGGTAATTCCATTTAGCACTGGAAATTCTCTTGGCAATTCCATTTAGCACTGCTTCTAAAAAGCAATATGGATAGCTAATGTATTAAAGTTCCTCATCAAGATGATGGAACTCATTGTACGCAAACTGTGCTTCTCCCATACAAAGTGGCAAGTTGATTAATTAGTGTTAACAGGCTGGGATAATAGCAATGATTATGGGAAACAGATTATGTAGCTGTAAAAATGAGTAGTACCACTAAATTCCCATTTTGTTTGACAGTTTAAAGTGAGTTTTTCTTGACCAGCATAATTACTCCTTTTGTATCATTTATGTTGTGGTGAGATAGGATTAACTCACCCTATTGATCTGTGAAGATTGGCAGTGTTTTTTTAATGGGTTAAACAAACTCTTTAGATCTTTGAAAATATTTAGGAATTTGCAGTGATAGTTCACAAATTGAATAACCCAGGCATTACCCAAAAATCGAAGTGTAGTAAGCCAAGGTAAATTTGTGGTTGCTTGGGTCTACCTCTCATTTTGCTCCATCAGTAACATGTAACCATGGAGATGGTGACCTATTCTCCTAAATTTGGTTTTCCACACTGATGATGGTAACAAAGACATTCCAATCTTCAGATCAAGAAAGAAGAACGATTAAGTCATTTCCACTTTTTGAAACAGCCTTTTTATAACCTGGAGGAACAGTGAAACAATTTTCAGGTCTCAGGGGAATGTTGAATGAATACTATATCTACAACTCACAGTACATTAGTGTGATCAGTAAGCAGTAGATGTACTCCTAGAAGAATTGGCAGTGCTGTGGTCAAAGCAATAATATCCTATATTAAGTTCATTGAAGTGTTTCATTAGCCGGAACCATGACATCTGTTTTGAATGAACATGTGTACAGGTTAAAAGTATCATACAGATGGAAGAATAAGCAAAAGTGCTGAATTCCCTTTTATCTCATAGACAAACAAGCAATTAACCTTGCTCAAAAATGCACAAGCTCCAAGTTGTTCTTTTTCCAGTGTTACTCATGAAAAAGCTGAATTGCACATTTGTTGTAATGGCACTGTTGTAATTGCACTGTTTTAAAACTGTCCACTTGCATGGTCCAAACAATTTCAACACTCCTCCTACCTCTTCAGTCTCTACAATCACTATTTGCCCAAAACTGTCAGCTCTCCCCCCCCCTCTTCTCCCCCCACTCTCTCTCTCTCCCTAATTAGCAACATATTTTTCTTTAATTGTTTTCCATTGGCCAACTTATTGCCAGCTGAAATACTTGCTCCTTTGCAATTTCAGATTCTCTTCTCTCTTTCTTGAGGAGGAGGAGGAGCACAATGCTACAAAACCAAAATCCTTTTGCTTTTTTTCTTCTTCCTTTCAACTTATTTTCAAATCAGCTTTATTTCAGTTTTTTTTTTTTTCAGAGAAAAGAAACTTCCCATGTTCCCTCTGACCATTTTTTCCTCTATAGGCTATTTTCTTGCCTTAGGACCATTTGCCTCACCAGGACCTTCATACGTACTGCTTACCTGTGGCTCTAACCCTCCAGATCTGAGTTTCCCTAACCTTCATCTCAGGCACACTGACTATAACAACAGTAGCATAACTTTGCTCTTTATCTGTATCTATTTATTAGAGCATATGCAAAGGGTCTGTTTCTCATAACAATAGGCGCAATAGCCTTCTAACATCTAGTTACAGACCCAGACCCCTAGCAGACAGATTTAATGTAGTCACAACTTTCTGGTAAACTCCAAACAGCTTCCATAAAGCTGTTACTTGCCATTCAAATAATAATTACTCCTAAAGATTATTGCAACTATCAAGTTGCACTTAATTTGTGAAATAAACATTGAAAGAATTCAAGCAAACCTAGAAACAGCCCCTTCTGATCTAGATGCCTTGGTCCGAGGAGCTGGAAATAGCTATAAATACAGTGGCCAAGAGAGCACCTGAAAACACTATACATTTTTAGAATCTCACTGAGCCCTAACACTGAAAATAGATACAAAACGTGAGTCTCAATAAAACCCAGTTCAAGGTAAATCCTATTTGCACTTATCATTTCGCCTGAATTCCCTCTTGTCTTCCCTTTCCGTTGCTTCTCTGTACACATTTTGAAAATGCATCATCAAAGCAGACACTCTTTAACTGGGAAATGATTGAGAGTGGTGTGTGCCAAATAGGATATCCTTAAAAAATTAAATATTAAAAGTTAATTTTGGTGAACTGCAACTGTAACTTTTCTTAAGAAGGCAATTAGTTTTAGGAATTCAAATAGTAGCTAATTTTTGCTATGATTGATTATTCTTAAAGGGCATTATATACCAGCACAATCATCTTCGATCCCAGTAACTGCACATTTTGTTGGTCACTTGTAATCTAATAATATTGCATTTTTCTAGCACTGAATATCTGCTTATGGAAAATTTAATTCACATATTTTATATATTTCAAATAATGGATTCCTGTGCATCATTAAACTGTCATAGAAAGAATAATAAAAAGATATCCAAGACCATAAATAATAATGTAGAAAGAGCAGAAAACTGTACATTGTTATAGCAATTATTAAGGGTTTCTAGCAGTGAAGATTTTTTTTATGTAAACAATTAAGTTACACTTTCACCATTTATAGAGAACAATATAGCCTGCATTTTCATTTAGACTTTCCAAACTAATATACAGACTGACATATTGAAATTTGTCCATTCTTACTTAACACACAGTGCATGAAAAGGCATAATCATGTTCCTGATCATGTGTCTGTGTTTATATTAGCCTAAATACCAATTCTTCACTTAATACATATGTATACTACAGAATGAAAAGCATAGTTAATTTACATCATGGGTTTTAAATCAAGAACCTGACCAAAAATAAAATTCCTGTTTTTTCTTCCTCCTTCCTCTCCTCCTCCTTCTCTTTCAGATAAAGTTGGAGGCTTCAAAAATCAAACTACCTAGATTGCCTCAGGGATCCTACTCCCCTTCTGGATCCAGTCAAAAAATCTATGAGCTCTGCGTATGCTCCAATGGGAAGCTGTTTCTGTCCCAGGCTGGATCTAGCTCCACCTGCCAGATAAATCCAAGTATCTGCCTTTGAAAGAGACTGTTTGCAGCAGGTTTCATGGCAAGACAGTTCAGCTACCACTTATTTTTGCTAGAACACAGAAAGCCTATCAAAGACTTGTGTGTATGTTTGGGGGGAGGGGACGTGTGCGTGCATGTGTGTGTGTGTGAATATATAAATATATAGATATATATAGATATAAGTATATATAGATATATATATCCTTTCCATAAAATGAGGTTTCAATACAAGAAATTCCAGGGTGACCCTCTTGGTGTAACATTTATCATTCCTGCATCAAAACGTAAGAACTTTGAGTGAATTGGATGCAGATCCTTTTCGGAATATTCAGATTGTTGAATGTATGTCTCCATTTGTCAAGGTTTTCAAGCCTCTCCAAATTTAATGGCTAGTTCACATGTAACAATTAATCCTCATAACTCTAAGGATAAATTCTATCATGACACAAGAGACTGTACCCATGTTTAATCTGCCATGTGTAAAGGCACTAAACTGCAATTGTGGCTTCCCCAGGTATCTGTGAAAGGGAGATAGAGAGATTACATTTATATGAAGCTGAACACAATTCCTATGTTGTTGGTTCTTCTATGGCCATTTAGATATCTGCATCTGTGGAGAAAGAATATTGTGTATAAAGACAACCTAAACATGAAACCAAAAAACAAAACTGAACTTATAGCAGCCCTCCTCTGATGACTCATGAAGGTAAGAAACCAAAAAGGAAGGTAGAATATATCCAAATTACAAGTAAAGGCTTTCAGTAAACAGAAGAACAGAACTAGTTTAAAACATATATAAAACAAACCAGTCTCGGAGCAGTTTACATAGTCAGCATATTGCCACCAACAATCTGGCGGAAGGATGGAAGGCTGAGTCAACCTTGAGCCAGTCAGGATCAAACTCCAGGCTGTGAGCAGAGTTAGCCTGCAATGCTGCATTCTAACCACTGCTCCACCACATATCATATCATCAGAAGAGGCTTCAAGATGGGCCTGGGAGTGGTGTCTTGGAGGCAAACCATCTGATCATTACAAACATTCCCTGCAAAAAAAAATTCCTAAAAATAACTCTAAAAAATAATGATTAAGGAACAATGGCAGCAGCAAAAAGAAAAACCTCTTTAATTGTACTGTTAAAACCAAAAGCCTAAAATGAATTACACTTCAGAAAGGGTGATAGGAAGCAGGTGAGTTGTGTTCTATCCACCACTACTCTGCACCTTCTATCATGGGAAAGGCACGTGATTCATGAAATTGATTCCTTAGCTGATCCCCAAATGCATTTTAATAATCTAGGAAACAGAACTGGTCTATACTTTCTGAGATTTAGGGGAACACATGAGTTATTGGTTACTTTTCTAACAAGCTTCAAACTTCAAGCCAGCTTTCAGGCTTTCTGATCTGGAGCACAACAAGAACGTCCTAGCAAGTCAGTTGAATTTAGTTTAGGTAACATTCTCACTGGTTTCAATAGTTTGGATTAAGCCATTTCTAAATATAATTAGGTGCTTCAAGTCATTGGTTAAAAAGACTTGAAGACACCAGTAAAGTGCACTTTTCATGGACAGTAAAACGTGTAGTTACAGATTACATTTGCAGTGCAATCCTAGACATTCTTACTCAGAAGTAAGGTCAAATATGCTCTATGAGGTTTACCTCCTCATAAAATATATTTAAGGGTGCAGCCTTAATTATGATATTAAGTCTTTAATGCATTGGCTAACTCAGTGGTTGTTGCAAAGTACATTTTGAGCTACTTAAATGCAAGGGGGTCACCCAGGATAATAATTGTATTGGGACACAACTATATACCATCTCTGTTAAAAGAGGGAGACTTGTGCCTATGCCTTAAGTCAATGCACTCAGCAAGGAGAAGCACATCAATATTTATCTTATTATTAAAACCATTTTATCTGATATTTTAGACTAAATGTTGGAAAGAATGGTGACTGCAGTGTTTGGAAGATGAATGCGGACTTATGAGGTAGACTTACTAAAACTGCCAAGGCTCAGAGGCACTGGTAACCTCAATCTTATTTTTGTCTGAGTAATGAACATCTAAATTTATACTGAAGGTACAACTTCAAATCATCAAATTGTGAACTGTGTTTTTGCTTTTGTTGTTCATTTCATACTGAATAATGATTCACTGTAAGACCCATTTCATTAAGGAACATTTGTCAAGATGCACAAGATGGTAAATGAGCTTAGTGCTGAAAAGGAAAATAGTCATATTGCAATGTGACGAGGTTTTATCTTTTCTTCTACCATCAATTTTACTGATAAGGAAAGAAACAATGAAATGAACTGCAGGTGTCTGGATATTTGCTTCTTTATTTCTGAAGGGCTTAACTTTCTGCTAGTTTAGTCTGTATGTTAATTTGGTTCCTGATCTTTAGTTTAGCTGTTAACTAAACTGACAGTAATGAAGAATGTTTATAGTGAGAGAAGAAATACAATAGCAAAAGGCAAACAAGTCATTCACAACAGCTATCAAATAGTCTTTAGCAGTGCTTTTTAAAAAAAAAATAATAAAAGGTGCCGGAACTCACACACGTCATACAACCCGACTTGCTTACCCTACAACGTTCCATCCAAAAAAGGTGCTGGAACTCTGTTCTGGGCGTTAGATTAGATGCCGAATTTAGTTAGTAATTTAAATTAGACTCCCCATAAACAAATGCTAATCACATAAACTAGACTGTAAAGTCCCTTAATTCAACCAACATAGCCATTAATGAACATTGGGTTAGAGAAGGCTGTCTTAAAATATGGGAGAAGTTTGCCATCCCAAAGCAACAAAAGCTCTCACTGAAAAAGATGGTTATTTGCTTCCTTTGCTAAACACTACTAGGCTTTAAGTTATTGTTCTTTTAAAATCATATGTAAGAAGGTGTGTTGATATTTGTAAAATTACATATAGTCATAGAAAACATTTCCTCTTTCTTTGCTCTTTCCCAGTCTAAGTTGTAGGAAGCTTAAATCTTCAAAGTATGATTTACGCAGTGTATAATTGTACATAAAATCCCAACAATAGTATGACTGTCATTTTTTTTAACAGCAATAGTGGTTGTAACAACACACCATGCTTTTACAATTAGCTTTCTTAAAGATGGCTCAGATACTTGCCTGCGTTGCTGGTAAATTTATCAAATCAGTCATCAGAAAGATGCCATACTCCAAACTATTCCAATTGTTGAAAAGTTAAATCAATAACTTTTCCCCATTGCACTCTATATTGTTTTTTTTTCAAAAGAAACAATTTCCAATAACAAACAAAATATGTTCGAAGTGTTAGGATTCAGTATTAAAATAAGTAATTGGTAATTTTTAGATATATAGGGATCAATTGTAATTATTGATCTATTTGTATACTCAGATTTTAATCAGTCACAAATACCTTCCATATAAAGTTAAGATTTGTACCAATGTCAGTGTTTTTAAATAAGGCATTATATATCAACAGTTTGGACACATACACAGTATGTTTTATGAATACTTTAAAAAACTGATATGTCTAACAAATGTTTATTATTTTAATACTGTATAACATTAGTTTCTAGATATTCCTCTATCTCTCCAATTCTAATTTTAAAAGATATTGCTACAGGCTTCTGTGGAAAGTAATTGCAAGAAGAAGAAAAAACCTCTTACTCTAAAGGGATTGTTGCTGACATATTACTTATATTATTATGTATTTATTACTTGTAATAATTACATATTATTACACCTCAAATTTTATTAATGATTGCTCCAGGAAAAAATGCCCAGTTTTACCATTTAATAACCATGGAGTTTGATGAACTCTACAGAAGTCTTGGTGGATTTATTTTACTTTATTGGCTTTATCTGATTATTTCAGTCCAAGAAAGGTTGGTATGCTATCTTCACTAGCATTTTTGTCCATTTTTCTCTCAATGGCCACTAGTATTCATTTTTGATTGACAGGATGAAGAAATATGAATGGTGGATTTCCACTGAAGTCAGGCTAAGAGAAGAATAGGCTGAAATGCTAGCTATGGGTATCCAAAGGCTTTTCTCAGTAAGGATTTAGTATCAGCAACTTTAGTTGATATTCTTCCATCCACATTAGTTAAATGTAAATGATTTCAAGCAGTTGCAATGTTATTCATTTTACATTACAGCTATTTCTTTTTGATATACTTAAAATTTCTTCTTGTTATATTTAGTATACCTGAACCAACCATAAACTCCATGGTTAAAGAAGATAGGCCTGCAGTATTTTCAGGGACAATTTAAAACAATTTCACGTCTGGGAAGTATGGTAAACATGGTTAATATCAATGGCCTGTACAGTAGTAACCTAATCCTATTAACTGGAAACAGTTTGCATTATTTTCTGATTTGGTTTGATTCAACAATCATTGTAATCTTGAAGTTGAAATGAAAAGTTATCATTTAGAAAATGGTCACAATGAAATAATATTCTTAAAAATAGAATACTATTTGGATGATGGTTATTTATAATTAAACTAATTATAAATTAAACCAATTATAAATTAATTAAATTAAATTAATTAAACCAAAGCTGCCACTTAATGAAAGATTTGCTATGAAAAGCTCCCAAAATATCAAGCATACACAAATTGCATACAGATACAGTTGCTAGTGATCATGTTGTTGGGTACAGTACAGTCATTGTTAATCTCATATAACATGTCAACTATCTATAAAATCATGGAACAACTTATCTTACAATAGTATATCCATACCTACATAAGCATAGGACTGGATACATGTAGCCTACATAAGATGACATTGAAATAAGATACTGTATGATAACAGTACAGAGGAAAGTGTGGACTTGTTCTGTGTCATCCCAGAGGTTAGGGCCAGTACCAGTGGACTGAGACTACAAGGAAAAAGATTCAGTTTAATAATGAGGAAGACTTTCCTGAGAGTAAGAGGCTGTCAACCAATGCAATAGATTGCCCATGCAGTGTTAAATTTCCCTTTGCCAGGAGTTTTTTAAAAAAAGAATGGCTAGTCACTGTCTAAAAAGTTTTAGCAGATCTTGTAACAAGCAGGATAGTTTTGCTCTGCCTGCTATTTGAAATCCCTCTAATTTGATAGTTACAAAGCAAGGATCAATAGTACCCATGGATACCCCAGTAAAGGGTGCTGAGAGTCCTTTCCTTCCATGAACACATTTTAAAGCATTTTGGTTTTTTTAAAAGTAATGAATAAAAATTGAGAAAAATCATGAGATAGCCAACTCTTCCAACATGTGTTCAACACACTGGTGCCCACCACGTGGGAAAGTTTTGAATTCTTGTCTAGAATTTTAAAATTCATGCATTCTCATGCACAAACTTTGGCTTCATATAAAGTTATTATTTCCTATTATTGCTTATTGTAGTACATTTCTGTTTGATCGATTACGTTATAAATGAGCACTAAAATCAAAATTAAGCAAGAGGCTTAATTTTGTATTATAGTATTATAGTTCCAATTGTTCTTTAATGCTGATGCTTCCCTAGTAGTAGAATTTAAAGACTCTGTGTATTTGGAGTCATTCTCTGGCAGACAAGTAGCCTATTAGGCCTATAACATCTCTCTTCAAGTCTTGGTTGCTTTCTAGAAATTTGCATAACTTGAAGCTTGCTCAGTTGGATGTATTTATTGAAGTTGGTCTTTGTGCTAATTACATAAAAAGCTGAATTACAGAATGGCAAATCAATTTTAGACTTACCTGTGGTTGAATATTTATATACAGTACCTTAATAGTTTCTACTTGTGGTTTTAATTCCTAAGATAAGGATTAAACTTCAGGTATAGCATTGGCATGTCTGACACTGAGTTGGAAGTAGCTTCAGTGTGACATGGAAACCCTAATTACAAAGCTCATAGACTTGCAAAATGTAAGAGTGCAACCCATTCTTGAACAGCCGGTAACAAAATCTATTTGGAATTTAAATCCATGTTTTTTTAATCCTACTTTCTGCATCAAATTGGAACAATCTACTCTGTCTTGCATTATAGCCGATCAAAAAATATCTATCACGTCTTCTCGCAATCTTCTCTTCTGCAGGCTAAACATACCAATCATTCCTCATCCTAGCCATTTTTTTCCTTTTTTTAAAAAAAAAATCTGCTCTTCCTGACAGTTCAAATCTTTTTTCACATATGTTGCGGTAAAACAAGTTGAAAAAGCTGTAGCTTGTATTCCTAATTAATATCATTTAAAAGGTAAATAACATACATAGATTTAAGGGGATTTTGAAATATTTCTGATGTGGAAGAAATTGAATGCTGTCAGCAAGCTTATAGTTTCACTTTGATAAAGTATATGTAAACCTCCAAAACGTCCCAAAAGTTGCCATTAATAGAAAATCACCAAAGGCATTGAAAGGCAGAGACAATAAAAGGACAAATTTAGGCTATATTCCTACATACGTTCATCTGTTGTCAAACTCACTAAAATAAATGGAATTTAGATCTAGGTAATTATTTATTAAGACTGCAGTGTTAAGCATATAGCTCTACTTGGTATGTCACATAGCTGCTTTTCCCCACCACCACCACCACAGAGAGCAAAGGCTATAGCACATCCATGCATATCCCCAATTCTAAATAGAATGCTGTGGAAAAATAGATTATGCTTCAAAGATCAAAGGCGCTATCAAATAACTCTTTCTCTGGTATGAATGGTATTCTTGGTAATTGTCTCTGCCTTTGGAATAGACATCAAAATGCTTGCATTTATTTTCAAACTGCAGAGTATCTGAACAAGGACCGTAGGTTGCTAAAAAAAAAAAATCTGCTAAGAAAAAAGAAAAACTACTTGCTCATTTAGGTTATTATGTTCATCTAATTACACTTCTTGTTTGATTCATGATGCAGTTATGCAGAAGTGCTTACAGGTAGCAGCATCTGGTGGTCTTGTCTGGCTCTCACATGTATTTGGTTAGTATATGGCTGGGGAATCCCCGGCATATATTCTAGATAAGGAAATTGAAAATTTTCTGGAAGAAGGCAGTGGCAAACTAGTGATATACAGTGGGGCAAAAAATAAGTATTTGGTCAATATCAAAAGTTCATCTCAATACTTTGTTATATATCCTTTGTTGGCAATGACAGAGGTCAAACGTTTTCTGTAAGTCTTCACAAGGTTGGCACACACTGTTGCTGGTATGTTGGCCCATTCCTCCATGCAGATCTCCTTTAGAGCAGTGATGTTTTGGGGCTGTCGCTGGGCAACACGGACTTTCAACTCCCTCCAAAGGTTTTCTATGGGCTTGAGATCTGGAGACTGGCTAGGCCACTCCAGGACCTTGAAATGCTTCTTACGAAGCCATTCCTTCATTGCCCGGGTGGTGTGTTTGGGATCATTGTCATGCTGAAAGACCCAGCCATGTTTCATCTTCAATGCCCTTACTGATGGAAGGAGGTTTGCACTCCAAATCTCACGATACATAGCCCCATTCATTCTTTCCTGTACACGGATCAGTCGTCCTGGTCCCTTTGCAGAGAAACAGCCCCAAAGCATGATGTTGCCACCCCCATGCTTCACAGTAGCTATGGTGTTCTTTGGATGCAACTTAGCATTCTCTCTCCTCCAAACATGATGAGTTGTGTTTCTACCAAACAGTTCTACTTTGGTTTCATCTGACCATATGATCCTCTTCTGGATCATCCAAATGCTCTCTAGCAAACTTCAGACGGGCCCGGACATGTACTGGCTTAAGCAGGGGGACACATCTGGCACTGCAGGATCTGAGTCCCTGGCACTGCAGGATCTGAGTGTGTTACTGATGGTTGCCTTTGTTACGTTGGTCCCAGCTCTCTGCAGGTCATTCACTAGATTCCCTTGTGTGGTTCTGGGATTTTTGCTTACCATTCTTGTGATCATGTTGACCCCACGGGGTGAGATCTTGCCCCAGATCAAGGGAGATTATCAGTGGTCTTGTATGTCTTCCATTTTCTAATTATTGCTCCCACAGTTGATTTCTTCACACCAAGCTGCTTGCCTATTGCAGATTCAGTCTTCCCAGCCTGGTGCAGGTCTACAATTTTGTTTCTGGTGTCCTTTGACAGCTCTTTGGTCTTCACCATAGTGGAGTTTGAAGTGTGACTGTTTGAGGTTGTGGACAGGTGTCTTTTATACTGATAACAAGTTCAAACAGGTGCCATTAATACAGATAATGACTGGAGGACAGAGGAGCCTCTTAAAGAAGAAGTTATAGGTCTGTGAGAGCCAGAAATCTTGCTTGTTTGTAGGTGACCAAATACTTATTTTCCACCATAATTTGCAAATAAATTCTTTCCAAATCAGACAATGTGATTGTCTGGATTTGTTTTCTCATTTTGTCTCTCATAGTTGAGGCCTACCTATGATGACAATTACAGGCCTCTCTCATCTTTTTAAGTGGAAGAACTTGCACAATTGGTGGCTGACTAAATACTTTTTTGCCCCACTGTACTTCTGCCAAGTAGCGTTGATGTATGTGCCTATGAAGTCATTCAATCCTGCCTTGAATAAGATTTTATCTATAAGTCAGCCAAATCAAGGTACTTCCACACCCCTGCCATTTCTTCTCCCCACTATCTCAAAAGAAGTTGGCAAATGTCCTATTATCATATTCTGTGAACTCAGAAATGCTGAAAACAAGCATTACTGTTCCAACAGAAGCTGCCATAAGTCCTGCACCACAAATTTAACTTATTCCTACTCCATCAAAAAAGAAATAAATTTAAAAATAAAGCAGCCTTTGCTTTGCAAATGGCTCATCCCTTGCCAGCAAACCCTTTTATAGAACCTGCTAGATGGAGGTCTGAGCCAAGAATTCCTTCTATGGAGAAACCATTGTCCTTCAAATCTCATAGAGGTCTAAAATTTCCTTCTAAAAATAATTTTCAACAAGTAAATTGGTTCAAGGTTCATAGGTTCATAGATATAGAGCCAATATGGAAGCATCTTGTACAGAAGTACTCTCAAGTATAACTTATGAAGCTTCCAATGCTATCTTTCTGAATGAAAATATTGCAGAATTGTTTATGGAGTACCTTGCTTTCTCCATAAGCTAAAGCTGCATTTAGCTAGACAAAATGGAAAAATGACTTTTAGCTAAGACATGTTTTCTGGACTTTAGCTTATAGGCTGCCCAGCATCATTCGGGAACCAGGTGGTACTTAAATCAAATGACTTACATTCATCATCATCACCATCATCACCACCATCATTTTAGCCATTGTCTATCCACTGCAGGATGAAGGCCTCTTTCAAATGTTTCCAACCTATATGGTCCTGAGATTTCTTTTGCCAATTGGGCCCGCAATATTTGCCTGCGGTTATGTATCAGTTAATTCCTCTTTATTTCTTTGCAGGGACATCCACGGTATGCGTGTTGCTGTTTGTGTGTGAACAAAAGTCATGATGGGGAACAATCAAAGCCCCACCTCTCTTCTATAAGCAATGAAATCACTCAATACACATCTTTGTGAATATCCCTACACTACCAAATACTTGAAATAAAGTTGGGCTACTTTAGGAAAAATCCATCCAATTTCTTTTTTAAAAAAAAAAAAAAATCATGCTGAAGCCCTACAAAAAGTTTCTTTATGGTGAATTGTAAGAATAAGTTTGCTGACTGCAATATGTCAGATCCCTTTTTATGTTATTACAGAAATTGTGTCTATATTCATGTTTGCATCTGCTTTCATTTTATACTAAAGACCTAATCATGGATAAGACCAAAAAAAAACCCAGACTTGTACTGGTAAATGCATTACTGCTGTCTAAAGCAGTGTTATTCCTGTAAGCTTTTACAAGATTTTTCTCTAGCAAAGCAGCACCGATAAGCAGTTTTCAATCTGAAAACAACAATGATACATATCATAAATAATTGTGTGGGACTTTTTTCATACAAGTCCACTGGTTTAAAAAGGGAGCACTGTCCTTGTGTCTCCTATTGTTTACACCACCATAATAAGTTTCAGAAAGACTTGAAGAACTGGGAAAAGCTGCAATTATCCCTCATGGGAAGAATTGCAGTGATAAAAATGAATATTCTACCCAAGTTTCTTTTTTTGTTTCAAATGTTACCAATTTTGAAAAATGAGATTAATTTAAATGAGTGGCAGAAGGGTCTCAATAAATTTATTTGGGCAGGGAAAAAACCAAGGGTTAAGTTCAAAATTATGCAAGACTTCCGTGAGAGGGGTGGACTCAAGGTACCAAATTTGAAATTATATTATGATGCGGTGGTTTTAACATTAATTAGTGACTGGGTAAATTTGACAAATTCTGAGATACTTTATCTAGAGGGATGGGATTTACTTTATGGGTGGCATGCCTATTTAATATTTAATAAAAAAATAGATTGGGCTTTTAAATCTCATATTTTAAGAATTTCTTTACTTAGGATTTGGAGAAAATATTATAAAAGTGATTTTAAAGTACCATTATGGGCTATACCTTGGCATGCGATAGAAGGAATAAAAAGAGGGGTTAAAATGGATATGGTGTCTTATAGACAGTTACTTAAATGGGATGGACAAAACTGGCAATTAAAATCACGGGAAGAATTAGTACAAGAAAATTTTACTTATTCTTGGTTCCAATATAGGCAACTACTAGATAGATGGAAGATGGATTGTAAGGTGGGTTTTCTTAGAGAAGATGAAAATCTTATTAAGCAACTGAAGGATCAAAGACAAACCCACATTAAGAGAATTTATGGGGTTTTAGTTGAATTGGACTCAGAAACGGAACTAATTAAAGATTGTATGATTAGATGGGCGCAGAACTTTGGTGAGCCAGTTTCATTGGACACTTGGGAAACTATTTGGGTGAGAAATGTCAAATTTACTCAAGCACAGAATTTAAGGGAGAATTTTTATAAAATGTTTTATAGATGGCACCTTGATCCACAAAAAATGTCTTATATGTACCCTGACGTGCAACCTAAATGCTGGAGATGTGGTTACAAGGAGGCTTCTTATTATCATATTTGGTGGTCATGCAGAGAGATAAAAGCATTTTGGATCAAAATATGGTGGAATATCCAGAGAATTTTTAGAAGGAGGGTAAAATTCACTCCGCAATTATTTTTGTTAGGTATTGGTACAGATTGTGATACAAAGGAGGTTGTATTGATGTTAAACTTGATCACAGCCGCGAGGCTGTTGGTTGGACAATATTGGAAGAAGGAATCTTTGCCTACATTGCAGGAATGTTTTTTTAAAGTAGCTTATTTGGCGGAAATGGCAAAGATTTCGGCTTTCTTAAAGCAACAAACGCAAGAGAAGTTTTTTGCTATCTGGGACAAATGGATAAAATTTATACAATTTAGATTGGGTATACAAAAATATTATATAGCCTTTTCATAAGTTTTATTTTTATATATATTATAGATATCTTTTTTATATATATAAATATAGAGTTTTTAATTTAATTTTTATTTTTTTTTTTATTATTTCTTAAGCCTATATTCTGCTCTGGGAAGCTCAGGGGGGGGGGGAAGGGAGGGTTTTTGGGAGGGGTGTGGGGTGGGGTTTTTTTTTTTTATATGTATTGTTTAATTTTTTTTTCTCTTTTGTATATGTTGTTTTTTGTTCTGTATTGTTCTTGTTTTTTTTGTAAAATTTATAAAACTTTTAATAAAAAAAAAAAAAAAAAAAAAAAAATAAGTTTCAGTTGAAGACTTCTTTGGTTCATTTTTATGTATGCTGATAATAAAATTAGTATTTGTGTTTTTGAGAGTAGACCCTTTATTTTGAACTGGATAATTATAGTTACCCATATTGATATAATAAATAATTAATGCTTAATGAGATAG